TCTAGGCCCGAAACGTCAGCTTTCCTGCTCCTCTGATGCTGCTTGGCCTGCTGTGTTCATCCAGCTCTACACCTTGTTATCCAACATTCTGGGACCTGGGTTCAAATCCTGCCATGGCAAATGGTGGAATTTGAATTCAATGAAAATCTAGAATTAAGGCTCTAGGTGATAATCACGAAACCGTTGTCGATTGTTGGAAAAGCTCATCTGGTTCACTAATGTCCTTTAGGGAAGTACACTGTCATTCTTACCTGGTCTGGCAATACGCATGATTCCAGACCCATAGCAATGTGCCCTCTGGGTAATTAGGGATGGGCAGTAAATGCTGGTCTGGCCAGCGACGCCCTCATCCTGTAAATGATTAACATTTTCCCCACTTGCCTGGATGAATGCAGCTCAGCACCATCCAGGATAAAGTATGCTTGACTGGCACAACATTCACTCCCTTCACCACCGATGCTCAGTAGCAGCTGTGTGTACTGGCTACAAGATGCACGGCAGAAATTCACCAAAGAGCTTAGAAAACACATTCAAAACCCATGGCCGCTTCTATCTAGAAGGAAAAGTCAGGAGACACATGGGAATACCACCCCTGCAATGTTCCCTCCAGGCCACTCACCATCCTAAATTGGAAATATTTTGCTGTTCCTTCAATGTCGTGGGTCAAAATTCTGGAACTCCATCCCTAACAGCATTGTGGATCTACATCAGTTGAAGGTGGCAGCTCACTACCACCTTCTCAAAGGCAACTATGGAAGGGCAATGAATGCTAGCCAGCCAGCAATGTCCAAGTCCCCCTAGTGAATAAAAAATCTTACACTGTGGAAATAATGGAATGCATTTGCCAAATAGGAAAACACGGAACAATAAAGACCTTTACAAAGTAACAAGAAAAAAACTGCTAGATGTATTACATATTAAAATCATAATACCTGGTCGAAGGGCTACATTCATACATTGCAGAAGGGCCTCTGCAGCATTGGTGCATGCTTCAATTCCTTTAGAAGAAGAAAGATCCCCATCTGTAAGGGCTTTAATATGACCTTTGGATAGGTCTAAATAGTTCTGAAAAATAAGAACACATACAGTGCAGATTACAGGACACATTGACTCTGACAAAAGAGAACAATGCATGTACTAGATATAGATGGAGCCCATCATTCAGATTTTCAGTTTGTATGACCTGTTTAATCGCTCATGGATCCAATTGCTCTGGTTACAACTTGAAACAGTGGCTCAGTGGTTAGCACTGCTGCCTCACAGTGCCAGGGACCCAGGTTCAATTCCACCCTCAGGCGACTGTCTGTGTGGAGTTCGCACATTCTCCCCATGTCTGCGTAGGTTCCTCCAGGTGCTCCGGTTTCCTCCCACAGTCAAAAGATGTGCAGGCTAGGTGGATTGGCCATGCTAAATTACCCTGTAGTGTTCAGGGATGTGTGGATTAGGTGGGTTATAGGGGGATGGGTCTGGGTGGGATGTCTGGAGGGTCGGTGTGGACATGTTGGGCCAAAGTGCCTGTTTCCACATTGTAGGGATTCTATGAAATAAACTCCACGATTATGTATTAGGTATAACTTCCAGTTGTTTGCAATAGCAACACAGGAATTTATTTGATTAACCCATTACTCAATAGCATTAAATTCAGGCAAGAAGTCTGCTGAATGCATAATGCATAAGTCATTATCTTGTTTAAGAAACTCCAAGCAAATCTGCATGCACCTTCAGAGTTTCTATTTATCTAACACGCAGTGCATGCAGGGGCATATTGTTGGCACAGCTACAATTCAAGAACTTTTAAACGTGCACTTCATTGGAACCAGCTAGAACCGTGTAGCCCAAGAGCACAGTTATAACAGGTAACACAGATTTAGTGAAAACTCTACCATATTATGGTCACTATTCAGCAAGATTATTAATTAGCCTTTTCTCATTGCACAATACCATATCTAAAATAGCCTGTTGCCCTGTTATTTCCCCAAAGTACAATGACAAAATCATCCCATATACTTTCCTCCACAGCACTGGATCTCACTAGATTTGCCAGTCCTTGTTATGTACAGCTTCTAATTTCCTGGTTTATACTGTTCCATACGTTTCTGCTGTTGTATGGTGGCAATAAACAATTCCTAAAAACGTTTGCTGTCTCTTGTCTTTTAGCTTCATCTATAAGTATCTACATCATATTCTTGTGATCTTTCCTTTTAGCCCATCATTGCTAAATGAGGAATATCCTTGAATATGCAGTTCGCAGTCACATCTGTGATAGCAACTAAGTTACACCTGTTTAGTTCTATTTGCTCCATCAATTCACCCATCACATTCACATAAGTGTTTTTAATTCGCCTTTTCCCCGTTTTTTGCATTTTGACTACATGACGTTGACATTTGTTACAACTCCCTTCACTTCTGTTTGTTACTTTTGTACTTCTCTAGATTTTCTCAACAAAACCCCCCTCAGGTTTACAACCCACTGACAGACTGGTTTAAAGCCTCCCCAATAGCAAATCTCCCTTTGAGGATAATAATCCTGTCTTGTTAAGATAGAACCTGTCCTCCTTTTATACGTCCAGATGTGTCCCAATGCCCGAGAAATCTTAAATCCTCCCTTCCTACACCATTTCTCCAGCCAATGGAACTATACAAAAATAAGGACAAGTTTGAAAAATCTAGGACCTTACAAATACATGTAAATACCACCTGACGTCCAATCTTATATTGAATTTCTCAGCCAAAATGCAAGTGGTGACAGATTAGCATATGCATTTTAAGTACATTGTTTCAAATTCTACAGCATAACTGTAGAGGTAGAAACATTCAGCATTAACTCAGCAATCAATATTAATTCATTGTTAGGTTTGCAGGGAGGAAAAATATCTCACATACCACCAGAAATTCTATTTCTTCCAGAAGCTTCATGTTGTTAGTGTTACTGAGCTGTATGAGGTCATTGCTTTGAGAGATGTGATCCATCTGTTCCTTTACACTCTGCAGCATTTCTTCATAACTGCTCAGCTTATGCTCAATTTCATCTACTTCCTTAAGTGCTTCATCCAGCAGTTGCATCAGAATGTTCACTTGCTTTTCTGAAGCCATAATTGATTGGATATTGGCCTGAAAATAAGACAATTTCTGTGTCAGGTAAAGTTTAAGTTAGTGTTACATTTTTTACTCTACTTTTTAATCTACTTACCATCGATTACTTTAGCTTGGATTTCAGAACTTACTGGTACTTCCAGCTATCCAAAGTTTTGATCTATTTTTCTCTTTAACTCTAGTTAAGCTTTCAATAAACAGGGAAAACAGTAACATTTATGGGTATAGTGCATTGCACTATTTTATTCCTCTAATAGCTTGTCTTAATTTTGAAAATGATAGATTAAATTCCATGCAGTTCTCTAACGTTCAGAGTAGGAAATGCACGTTCAGAGTAGGAAATGCACGTTCAGAGTAGGAAATGCACGTTCAGAGTAGGAAATGCACGTTCAGAGTAAGTTTGCACGTTCAAGTCTGCTCAGCCATATGATCAGATCATGGGTGACCCAATTGTAAGCTCTACTTTCATGTCTACTCCCTAAATCTTTTGACCTCCTTAGCAGTCAGGAATCTATCCAGTTCAACCTTGAAAAAAATTCAGAGACCCTGCTTCTGCTGGTCATAAAATAACAGCAAAATTTTAGTTACATATGTACAACTAAGTCTCATCTAAGACAAAAAAAAAGCCCCAAAGAACTGCGGATGATGGAAATATGAAATAAAAGCAGAAATTGCTGTTAAATGTCAGGTGTGGCAGCATCAGTGAAGAGAACCAGAAATCAGTCAAGTGATCCTTTTTGAAAACTCATTTATCTATCTTGGAATTGTTTAAATATAAAATTGATCCTGAATGCCGAAATCCACTTTATTTTTCATAAATTAATCTATTACACAAAATTGGAAAGTCCTGAAAGAACGGAGAAACTGCCAGAATTTTCTTCAAACTGTCACTGACTGCTTTGCTGAAATTTCAAGTACAGTCTTTGTCGTTACTTTTCAATTGCCTTGATTCAAACAAAGTAGTTTCAAATACATTCCTGAACAATTACGGAGTTATCCTGGATTTAATATAGCTGCTAAGGGAGGAAGACTGGAAAAATGCAAAAGAATAAAAAACCTTGCTAGAAAAATCTTCTACTGGCTTGTTTGAGAAGCAAATTTATGACCTTTTTAGCATCAACCAGCATATTTAAACAGTGGCAGATGGGCAGGGTTTGCTTTTGGGATCCATCTACATCGTGGACAACCTTAAATAACAATAGCGGGTTGAAAGGAAATGTTCTAACTCCATAATTTAGACATTTGATATCTGGACATTAAGGTCTGTATACAATATCTGAACTTTAAGGGGGCAGCCAAACCAACCATTATTGTCTATAATCAACATTACTTTAATTATTTTGGATTGCTAAAGGACAAAAAAAAAATGAAAAAAATCTTACAATACATGAGATGTGAAATATCCAGGCACAGCTAACATTGAACATGCTGTCATCACTTGATGTCATCTTTCCTTTGGAGCAAACTACTAACACTTTTATATTCTAATACTCACCCCATCCAGCACCTGCAATTCTCTAGATAGTTTTTCTGCAAAGGCTTCAGCATTTGAGATGGCATATTCACAACCGTCCATCATTATCTCAATATCCTGTTCTTCTCTTGTATTCAGCTCCTGGTATTCATCCAAAGATTCCTCATCTCCACCAGCCACACTCTGATTTTCACCACTTGGAACAGACTCTTTGGAGAAATTGATAAGATGTTGCTTGATTCAATGTCATAATGCTAGAGTACTATTAAAAAGTATTTAATTTGGTAGCAAGGTATAAATCATTTAACCTGACAACATATTTAGTAAATCATATTTAGAAAGATATTTCAGAATCAGTAATAGCTGAGGGGAAAATCAGTGGGATAACTGCACTAAAAGAAATGCTCCAGGGCTGCACAGAAAATGTAATGAGCTGTCAGATAGCTCTTGTTTTGTGTGGTTACAAAGAAACGCAGCAATGTTATGTAAAATACTAAATAAAAATCAAAAGACCTGCAAATGCTGGAAATCAGAAACAAAAACAGAAATTGTTGGAAAAGCTCAGCAGGTCTGGCAGCGTCTGTGGAGAGAAATCAGAGTTAACATTTCAGGTCCAGTGACCCTTCCTCAGAACAGGTTTGTGCTTAACGTATACATGATGATAGATTATAACTAAGTTCACGAACATCCATTATGATTCACGATTTACATGAAGGTTATAGATTTTATTAATGGACTTAAAATTTTCAAAGTTATGATGTAGGCCCTTGCACTGCCTATACATTTGATAAGTTTACTTATGTGCAACTACCCCGATGGTTGTGTTTACTCAGTGCTGTTGTTCAGTCATACAGGGCAGTAAAGTTCCTCATTTCACTTTGGTCTGTAGAGGGTTAGGCAATTTTAGCTGTTGCAGTCGTGAGGGTTAGAGGCTCTTTAGTTGGCTTCGGTGTTTCTAGGTTAGTTAACAGGAATGAAGCAGATTCTCATACTGTCTTGCTACATCTCCGTTTCAAGGTGTAGGGGCTCAGGCTCAGCTGCAATACTTCCCATGATGGAAATACTTTGCTGACAATCACTGTCAAGCTCTAAGAAGCGGAATGGTGACTTAAGCAAAGCATGTGGTTAAGAGAATATAACAAAACAAGATTTCAGTGTTAAATATTAATTAAAACCAGGACCAACAAGTGACTCTTTAAACAATATAATACATTGCAGCAACCATTATTAACACTGTACAACTCAAAATAGTAAATGCAAATTTCCTAACAAGTCCATTCAGAGGAGGAAATCCTACTTCAGTTATTCCACGTCTATCTATCATTGCTCATTGCAATATCAATAGTCATATGGCTCATATCTCTCTAATCCGGCACTCTTGGAACCTGGTCTTTGCTGTACCAGAGATTTTGTCGGACCTAGAAAGGTCAAGAATTTTCCATATACAAAATACTTTAAAAGAACTCACTTTGACTTTTAACAAATCATATGGCTAATTTTTGAATAAATTTCCAGTGGGTATCAAAAACAGTATTCAGGGTATCCAAAATGGACAAAGTGCAACAAAATTATTATACGAACAAAGATCAATGCAGAGCCACTAGATGCCACAATGGGAGAACTGGAAGAACAGCAGGTGCCAGGGATGCCAGATTAAGGTCATACAGCCTTTACTAAGCAATAATACAAACAACTGAAGGCAACACCACGCAATAACTTTCAATTTAATAAACAAATAGCTATTTAACATTGAAAATTATTGCTTTACCATTTTCTCTGAATAAATGTGGATCCAAAATTCCACTGTCAACAAATTAATTAATCATTCCAACACATAACCTTCATAATTTACTCAACTAACAATATCATCAGTTAAGAGGCTGAGAAAGGTTGGAAAGCCAGTGTGGCTCAAAATTATGACATTTTCTGAAGTTATCTTACATGAAATATCTTTAAACACATTTACGTCAGTAAATATTTTCAAGTTATACAAAATCCTAGTGGTGAGCTCTATTGGTCATCCTTCATAATGTTTAACAATACCTTCTTAATGGATATGTGAAAAACAGTTGTACACATTGCAGAGTATATTCAGCAGATTTCTAAACATGATTGAAATACAAGCATATTGCTTATTCCAGGAGTTATGTTAATTACCAAGTGTTTTAAGCTTCCGTATGTTTCTATATTGTAATATTAAATCACATATATACATTATATGACAAATGATGGACTTGAAAGAATGTTGGGTTAAATAGTTCAGTTTTCATTAGTATCTTATTTTGTGCATTTCATTAAGGCCTACTGAGAAGGAACTAAAAAGCAGCTCACAATGTGTAATCATATTATACTCAGGGGTTCAAATAAGTGATAAAATTCTAATAAAAGCTACAAAATAGAAAATAAAGATAGGATATTGGTTGTGGATTTCTGTGTATAACAGTTAAAGAACAATTTATCATACATTTCAAATGCTTCAAAATAGAAAGATCATATGAACTATATTCTTTGTATGCTGCATAAAATAATGCGTTCAGTTGCATATTTAGTCTAGTCTCTATTTTTAAATCATGGGATTGATGATCCTTGAAGGCTGATTATTCGGTGTTTACAATTAGCAATAACAACTCTGCTTAAAATTTCAGACATCATAAAATTGTAACTTTTACAGTGTGAAAAGATAAAATTGACACCAGTAATGACTACAAAACCAATAATTTCAAGGCCAAAAATTTAACAAGAGTATGTTTTGTGTCATCTTGCTTTTCTTCATTTTTACAAGGCAAAATGAAAATAAGAGTACTTCCATAACATATAAACAGCAAACTAATGCATACTTTCCCTGATACTTGCAGTTTAAACATAATTTCTGAACTTAAAGCATCAATTTTACTGACTCTCATTGTTTGCCGGAGCCATCACATTTTAAACATTGGGCTAGATCTTCCAATATTGGGCGCAACAATGCACAAACTTAAAATGTGCTTGTGCACATTGGGACCCTGGGAAAGTCCTGAGGTGCACATAATCTAAACTTTTGAAGGACTACCTATATGGATGTTTACTCCAGGGAAGGAAATCTGCCATGCCATCCTTACCAGTTTGCCCTATATGCAACTCCACCTCAGAGCCTCAGATGTGGTTAATTCTAAACTGCTCTCTGAAATGGCTTTGCAAGCCACTCACCTCTGGGACAATTAGGGTGGGCTAAAAATGTTGGCCCTGACAACAATGCCCACAACCCAGGAAATAATATTAAAAAAAAAATCAGTTGCTCGACTCAGAATTAAGTGTGACATCAAGGTTATAAACGAATTGGTTTTATCGCAGAAGGATACCAAAGGAGATCAAGGGTCAGTACTGATGGATTAGAATTTGAAACTTGGACTAAAAGCAATGGTTTCAGTCTTACAAATGTTACGACCCCTTCGCTGACTCTCAAATTGAAGAAAACTGACTCTCCTTGTTCATTCTACCAAAAACCTTCTAGACTTAAAAAATCTCTATTAAAATCTCATAATAATTAAATCTCTTCAGAATTAAATTTGTCATCTGAGTTTATACTTGATGAATCTGTTATACCTTGCCTGTGGTTTTAATGATCTTTCTAAAAAAGAAGATACCCAAATTATGCACAATAGTATTAACACTGGCCTTAAACAAATTAATTGTTGCCTCCATCACTGACCCTCGAGTGAACTCCAACACCCCCAGAAATTCCAAATCATTCCTCTTCTTCATCAGCAAACACTATTACATTCATTATCTGGGCATTCAGAAGGTATGTAGATGGCTGCTAAGACTGATCTGTGACCAGAAGGTTCAGCTGGTAATAGGACAGGATACTACAGATAACTGAATTTTGAATGAATTGCTAGTTCAGGATTTCCTCTCGAGTTTTCTCTCTTCCTCTGATTTGCGCTTGCTCTTGAAGGAGGTCTCACCACATCATATTTGGTGATGACAAAAGCAGCGATCGGTGGAGGGGGGGGTGGGGGGGTGGTTCCTGACAGGACTCAAAGTTCATATCAAAACTCCTAAGTGAAACCTTCTGAGTATCCTTGTATCACTTCCTTGGACTATCATAAGAGCGTAGCCAAGAGACAAACTCTCGACAGAAGAGTTCTGTTGAAGAATCACCTGACTTAAAACATTAACTTTGTCTTCTTCCCACAGATGCTGCCTGACCTGCTGAGTTTCACCAGCAATTTGTTTTTATTGCAGATCCAAAGTTCTTTGTATCATCTCAAAAGAAGATTGGCTTTGTTAAGCAAAGGTTTATGTGTTCTAGCTACTTGAATAGCCAAACTCAGTTGTGACTGTCTAAATATGATGTTGATGCTTAGCATGCCAGCTCAGTGAGTACCTCAGCATTTGGTATTTTGTCTTTCCATACTGAAGGCAGCTAAAGTGAAAATGGTGGAATTCTTGGCATTACACTGGAACACAGTCGAAGTCTTACATATGTACAGCAAAGTGGACAGGGCTCCTGTTTTGTTCCAATGTGACAGGTAGACTTATTCCTCTTCACTTCAGTCTGACTTATGAAGCTTGCTGAAGACTACATTTGCTTTGGTAATTCTTCCGTCGTTTTTTCCTTGTGCATTTCTGACTTACTTTTGCATGTCTTATCAAATCCTTCCTATCCTCAGCCGCTCACCTTGTAGCTGGCACAGCTCTGCCTGTAACACGTTCTCTAAAACGCACTGCTTCCCATTTCAAAACACGTCTCTTCAATTTCAGTCACCTCCCACACACTTCAAAATACTCCACCATGAATACTTTTCTATATTAGCACAGACTGTTGTCCTAACCAAACCATGAAAACTCACATACTTGACCTGCCATCCAAAAGAACAACATGGAGCTAGGGAAAACCGCAATAGAATTTTGACTTGCAATTAATCAAAAACTAAAATGTTAAAGTTATTAAACTGAAAACCCTCAAAAAAAAAGATTGTAGTCATCGATCACCTTCTTAAAACAGAGTGGATGCGCTCTTATAATGCCATCCACATTAATATGCAGTAGGCATCCATCACTTGCTAACACTGCTACAATCAGTTTTCAGAATCAGAACAAATACTATGCAAGCAAATATTAGGTAGAAATTAAAAGAAGAAATGCTGGAAATAAACATTAAGCATTTGAAAAGATAGGTTAATATTTCAGATGAAGACAACACATGTAATGAAAAGATGGGATTTAAGAGAGCAGAAAAAAACATGGGAGGAAAGGAAAAACAGGTCAACAATTCTTTTTGTGCTTTTTAATTTCAATAATGCTTTGATATAAAATAAGATTTTGGACTCTAAGGATTCATTTACAAAGATCAAGTAATCAGTTTTTAAAAACTTTGGCAGAAGAAAGAGGCAGCTGGCACCTTCGGAAAACAGTGATCGGGGTATTGTAAGTTCTGTGAAAAGTAATGGCTAACCATATAATTAAGTTACCATATTATAAAACAATGAAGAGGTCATTCGCATATTCCAGTACTTGCTATTGACAATTACACATGTAATATCAGGAAGTCCCTACATGCAAAAAGCAAAGGATTGGCTAAACAGGCCATCCAAAAGAAGAACATGGGAAAACTGCAATACAACTTTGACTTGCAATTAATCAAAAACTAATGTGAAGTGCTCTGGGATGCTTTGGTGTTGTGAAATTGTTATAAAAATGTGATTTTTTTCCTTTTCTTTATTTGAACCCCTGTACTGCATTAGATAAGGCAGCACATGAATTACAGAATCACACCAGAAAGAAAGTAAGAAAAATGTTACCAACCTTCTGTAACTTTAGGAAGTTCTTTGCAGAGAAAGAATAGAGAAAGAGGATTAAAGGAAGGTAAGCAAAGAAATATAACAGCAACAGGTCACAATACAGATTACAAAGGTACCTTATTACATTGAGTTATTTAACACACCAAGGCTTGCCCACATTCAGCATCACAAAAGGCTTTCAAGTAATGGCATCACAAGTAAAGTCATTGCTTTCACTCATTTTTGACATCTAAATTTTAAGTAAACATTTACAAATGTGAAAAGACTGATGACTAGCCATTAAAATATCTATTCACAAAGCAATATACCAATTCAAATTTTATGTACAGCAATGCATCCAACGGTCACTAGTCATACTGTGCATTCTATGAAGGACAAGAGATAAAACATATAGTAAAATGGGATGAAATAGTGTAACTTTTAGCTTGATTTCAATATTGTAATGTACCTATTATTGAAAATTTAGAAAAAGATCAATTACCTATCATACGAGTGTGCTGCAATAATGCTTTTTCAGATGCCAATTACATTGCATTTAATACTACTTAATAAAAAGATAATGGTGCAAGAAAGAGTTGCAAGGAACAAATTCTATTATGTAACAAAGAGCCTGGAAGGAAACTTTGGTTTCCATACTTAACAGCAAATAATCACAATAATTTAACACATGTAGAAAGTTTATCTTGAAACCCAAGTGAGAACAGCAATTTTCTTCAAAAAAGAATTGATCACCACACCAGATCTTACCTTCCAATAACTGAGAGCTAACATTGATAAACTCAAGTTTCTTTCTAAGGTATCGCTGATTAAGCTTCCAAATACAGGAAATAAAAGCATTTTTCTCTGCTGTGCTGCTGGCAACCCACTTGTAAACTTTTTCAAAGTGTAAATCGAACTCTGGATTCTCCTGCAAACATGAATTATATGAATCCACTTAGATAAAGCACTGAAATTTGGAAAAGCAACCATTATGATGAAGTAGATGATAGTGATATGGCTGAAATTGATGTTACATTTCAAACTTTTAAACTATGTACTCAAGTTAAGAATTTTTTGTACACAAGCCAACAAACCCTGAAGTTGCATTTGAATTTTGGCACCTAGTTGACAGGTTCCTTTCCGTCATTGTTCAAAATGTTAACCAGGCTGCAAATAAACTTGGCATCCCACTGGAGCACAAGCTAAGCTTCCAACCCCATATTCCTTTTATCACTGAAACTACTTCCATTGCCATAACATTTCTTATTTTCTAAACTCTGCTAGAACTCTGTCTTTTCCAGACTTAACACTTATGCTCTTTTCTCCATCTTTCAATCTCTAAACTTCAGCTTATTCAGAACTCTGATACTTATGTCCTATACCAGGACAAATCCTGCTCTTATCCTAATTGGCATATGTTGAGGTGTTGGCAAACCAGTCGTCAAATTTAAATTTCCAGTTCTCATGTTTAAATTCATGCTTGGACTTTCTCAACTCCATCTCTGTAGTCTCCTGTAAGTCTTTAACTTTTTTCTCTACCTCTTCACCAACTCATTATTTCTGACTACAGGTTCTTATACTTTTATCCCACCAATGGGAGTTGTTCTTTTATCTGTCTGTGTCTCAAAGTGGTTGATCATTGGTCCTTCAGCTGCATCTTCTCTTTTAAGACCATATCAAAATGCCGGCCTTTTGAGGAAACTTTTAGTTACCCTTTCTAATATCCTTCTTGGTGTGGTGCTGATATTTTGATTATATCTGTGAAATACAATGGGATGTGTTTCTACATTAAAGTTACTGTATAAATGTATGTTGTTTATTGATAGCTACAAAGCTATCAATATCAATGAAATGTTAGAAGTGATAATCTTCATTGCCAAGTGAATCCCATAATATGGCCTGTTTAAAACACATACAATTTCCTTTTTAAAGGGAGAAGTTCACCAGCTGTATTCTTGGTCAAAATGAGGGATTCTCATTGGCAATGAGAGGACATGGCATCCACAAGATCTAAATGCACAAGCTTCTGTCTGGTTACCTTTATGAGCTGAGGCACTGGTTGCACTGCAGGAAGGAGAAAGTCAGCCCAATGAAAGTCATAATTGTGTTAAAGCATTTACATTATTGAACTAAATAAATTGATATCAACACAAATACTGGGGAAAAAAAGGACAGAAGCAGTTCTGGGCTCTCCTTCTCTGCAGCTGCTCCCCTAACATCAGCTTCAAACTGTCAGCGAAACATTCCACAGGAAATCCAGTAGATTTCTGGTCCTGGATACCAGTTGAGAGGTTTGAGGTGGGAAATTTCAGTATCAGTTGAGCATGGGTGTATTTTCTTAAGTATAAGGATTTTCCCAGCAAATGCATTTCCCAACTAGCATCCAGAATCAGGAAGTTTTTAAGATTTCCTGTGGAGCTGTTTAGCTTACTCACCCTCCCATTTTTGGGTACTGATGCATCTTGCTGTATGTGTAGATTGGTAGAGCTCTGTGGAACAGAGTGGTCAAAGATTAATATCCCCGACAAAGGTTTTCTCATTTTAAATGAACTTACCATTTTATTAGGAGAGGGAAGAGAGGAGGAGTTGAATAGGGGTAAGGAAATACTTCCTATTGAAAATATTATCACACACTTTTTTCTGCTTCAAATCAATTTTTCTCCAATAGAATTTTATTTTGTGTACTCATGGTCACTGCTAGTACTGGTAGGGTGGGACACTGGGCTATCAGCTTTTGTGCTTAACAAAGCCAAGCTTCACAATTAATTGACAGGATATGCACTTACAGAATGCAATTTGGACTTCTGTCAAATTCTTTCACCTTCCTAGCAAGCCATATTCTATCAGATGCAACCACAAGCACTGAAATTACAGCAAATTAATATTTGCTAATTTATTTGATCTTCGAGAACTCAATTTAATTTCTAAGTCAAACTTGAAATAAAAGTCATATTATGAAACCCAAAATGATTTCTCAACATTTGAGAAATATAATAGAGCAGGACAGGGGAGAGGTAATAAAAAGATCAAAATAATAAGTTATCTTTTAGAAGTGCTTTAGTCTTCTGATGAAGAGCTGTAAAACAAGAAATTACCTTGAATATCAAGAATGGAAACAAAAATGTGCCCAAAGATTTCTCCAGCATTAAGATGTTGCAACATTTTAAAGTATTTCATATGACTGAACCAGTAAACAAAATAGAGAACAAAAAAAAAGGATGTTTCCAATTGATTATGGTTATTACCATTGTAAGTTCAATCACTTGCACTAAAATGCTGCATAATTCTTAGTGTCCTCAGGCTTTTAATTACTTCACATCATACCTTGTTGGCATCTTTTGCATCAACGACAGCCAAATCTCGCAGTGCCCATGCAGTTTGCCGTTTGTAGAAATCCCCCTTATCAGATTTCTTCACCTTTACAACATTTACCTGGACTGGTCGTTCAGTTGTTACTACAAATATCAAACATTAAGAACTCAGGTGTAGACAGAAAAAAATTAAAGAGGGAACAGTAGCAATCTAAAATACCAACAGAGAAGTAATATTTATTTAATTATTTGTGAAGGTCACACACAAAAGGTGTGAACTACACCTTGCTCAATTTTAAGCCAGAGATAGTAGGAACTGCAGATGCTGGAGAATCTGAGATAACAAGGTGCAGAGCTGGATGAACACAGCAGGCCAAGCAGCATCCGAGGAGCAGGAAAGCTGACGTTTCAGGCCTAGACCCTTCTTCAGAAA